AAGACTAGGATTTCTGGGTACTATTGTAGTGCAAGAAGTTGTTGCTTGTTGCTTCTCATTTCAAGCTATTTCAGAAATCTGAAATCTATGTAACAGTAAAGTTAGGCATTACAATTGAAATAGCTTTTCTTTTAGAATACTTGTGGCTTTAGTCCTGTTTACATGAATCACCTTCATCAAGCAACCCACATAAGAACCTGCGATGAAGGCAAAGGGAAAACTTCTCATCCTGAAGTGGGAGTTTGCATAAATAAGGGCTTCCACAGCCAGGAACTTGGGAATATGAGATGCTGGATTAACCAGAATCTATTTGCAGCCTAAAATTAGTTTATTCTTTTTTGACACTGATGTCCTGATCTGTAGCTGGGCTTCCACCAGGCTGTTGTGTTTGGGTGCCACCATTTTGGAACCATATGACTGCCCCTTTGTTTAATGTATCCCTGTGGCCTGTCATACACTTCCTCAGGCAGAGCAACCCATGCAGACATTCTCATAACTCTATTATGTGATTCCTGATTTTGTAAGCAGTTTGCAATTATAGATGACCTCTCCAAAGAGCCTCCTGGATGTAAGCCACTGCCACCTCAAGCAAGTGCTTTGTATAAATCCTTTTCAGGGCTTTATCACTGTTTGCAAAATAGTAAAGGAATCAGCTGTTGCCACTATTTATTTTGCTTTTTTATGGCCCTTCCTCCTAAATTCAGACATGAAAACTTGCTCTGCTTTTAGAGGGAGACAGGCAAGTCCAAGGAGTATTCCTCTGAGTTGTCTAAGCTTGAAAGCTCTGTGACTTTTGTTTTAGCTCCTGGTGCAAGGATTTATCTTGTCTCTTTCTGTGCTGGCAGATGGGAACAGTGGCAGTAATCCAACCATATAATTTAAATGGAGTTGAGTCTGATACAGCTGCACATGGAGATGCTGTGATATCAGTCAGAATTCATAAACTGTACATAAACAGATTCCCCAAATTGTCACAATTGTTCCTGTATTTTGTCCATTGAACAAACATGGTTGTGTCTTGGCAGCGGGAGGCTTCATGCAATCTGTTCTTCCACAAGGTAGACTCTGTTTTTTTTCAGCTGGGAGGTCTCCATGTGGAATTATTGCTAAGTCAAAAGCAGTACTGTTGAGGATTCATTGGAAACAGCCAATTTAATCCCCCAGCTAACACGAGTATGTTTTGTTTCGTCAAGGAATCCAGGCTTATAAAATGACCTTATAATGGGTCTTGAGGAATTGTTTACATGAGAGAATCAAGAGAGATGAAAAACAGAGAGGATCACTCTTCAGGAACGACTGCGTACAGGAAATAGGAAACGTATGTGTCAACTTTGTTTCCAAGTTCCAACACTGACATGAAAGAAAACATAAAGAAGGCCATTTCAGGGAAGAGGTTTCCACTTGCCGATGTAGGTTGAATCACATATGGCAGCTAAGAGAAGGCCATATTAATGAAGCCTGGATAATAATGCTATTGTTACAATTTTGGGTTAGGAAAAGCTTAAAGACAGTGTGCAAGGGTTCCAGTTTCCACTTGAAGTGAAGAAGATAAGAAATGTTCTGCATTATTTGCACTCTTGTCCTTCCATTCTATTTTGGATAAAGTGAGGCCTGATACTGAACTAGCCATAGTGTTTCACTTGCTTGTAATTAAACTCTTCCATTAGTTGCAGGTGCCCTAAGGTTGCAGTTCATGAGATTGTTAAAACACTGTGGAATGGCAGAAAAGAGGACAATTTTCCAACAGCTATATGCAATGATCAACCATACTTTTCCACTTTATTTTATAGCATATTGCAACATTTTTAAAAGAAAAGAAAAAATTAAGGAAGTTTTAAGTTTTGAAAAAGTAATGTTGAATCTAATTTTTTATTTTCTTCCACATCTTTACCACTGAGCTTGAGAAAGGAAGATCTGAACAGCTCTTATGCCTTTTCATTTCACACTGAATTTATAGGAAGTTTCCAAATGTCGGTCAGCTTGGCAGGAATAAATGTAGACCAAATGGTGTAATCCCCACAAGGAAGCATAATTCTCTCATGAAGTATTTACAATAGCAAGCTTGGAAATCCAACAATAGGTTATATTGTTAATAGGTTGTTTATAGCCTCTTTTATTGACTGATTCATTCTTAATTGTAACAGATTTAGTTGCTGAACATTCTTCATGTGGCATGAGGTTTCTTGTCCACTGTTGCTTTAAGAATTCTCTCAGGTAGTGGAAAGTATCATTCTGACATAAATCAAGAAATAGGACATATATAGTACCTTGAAAAGTTCAGAAGTTCCCTGAAATGTAGCTGAACTTTCTGATGCTCCCTTCCTGTGACCCTCCAATAACCCTTATCTCCCCTGCCTTCATGACCCTTTAATGTTTCCCTGGCTCTCCCTTCCCTTCATCCTCTTAAAGAGCTTGGCTACTTTCCAACGTGTATGCATCCAACAGGCCACCCTCTTTGGAAACTCTCCCAGTCTTTGAAAGGGACTTGCAGTAGAGTAGCCTCAATGCTAGTTTGCACATTTAAATTCTACTTACTGTCAATGCATTCACCTATCTGAATCACATGCACAACTTGGTCAAAACTGATAAACTGCTGCAGTGGCAAATTGTGGTACAAAGTTATCAGCCTTCTATAAAGTTAAGGTCACAAAATTTGGGCCTTTTAAAAGGAAAGCAAGGGAAAGGCTTTGGGGTTTGTTGTACAAACAGCTTTTGTCATGCTTTCTACACAATTAGAAAAGATTTTTACAATCAGAGATCATTGCTGGTGAGGGCAAAAATTGTTTCTTCAAAATAGGATATCACAGGTGGAAGTCCTCTAGCTACCCAAATATAATTAATTGCTACTGTGCAAACTGCTTTGTCAGTTTGTAGTATGCTTTCCACTAGATGTTTCACAATTATACATTGAGTAAGATTCACATAAAAACCTCCTTTTTTAACATTTGAAACAAAAAATCCAATGCTACAGTTTTGTATATCCTTTAAAATACTGTATATGCTTATCTGACAGCTTAAGACTTGAGAGAATGCTGTAACTTGTACTTAACTATATTTTTCCACAGACTGCAGTTATCAAATAGAGTTTTAAGGGAGGTGGTAACTTTGAGTGCTAAGTATAACATCCCTCAATAACTTTATTTTTAACAGCTAACTGTAACATACTTGGTCACAGAGGTTTGTTTCAGTACAGATTCTCTCTGATGGTCTTCACATCTTCCAGTTTGCATACAAACAAGTCTGAGCTTCACATGAAGTTTTCTAAAGTGAGGAAGTGTCACAGAAATATGTGATTATGTGAATATTTAAGCCAGCAGTGTGAAAGCAGCAATCTAAATATCTTTGTGTCCCTGGCATCATGGGAACCTGGTGACAACTTGGTTTTTTCAGAGTTGCATATGTCCTTAGGGTATCCTCTGGAATATTTTTAAGAGACTAAAACCAGCTGAGTGCTTCTCAGTATCACAGGCAAAGTTTGTCACCTGAAAGGATAAAGACAAACCTGTGTCCTCGCCCTTGAGTGTAGTAAAATTCAGTTCCTGGGTTCAGAGGTGGGAATGATAAGGGTGAAATGGCTTTTGACATAACAACAACTTGGAGCAGATCTGGGTTGGTTGCTGGCAGCAGAGAATGCAACCTGACATGGATCAGTGAGATCCCTGGGTAGGTATGTTTGGGAGTTAGGAACCCTCTAAAAATTTGGAATGGTTGAGATAAAGTTTTAAATATTCAGTAATAGCAAGGTAACTCTGAAGTCAAAGGAAGAGCTGGCAAACACAGAACAGTGGCCGTTGTGGCTTGACCCTAATTTTGGTGGCAAAATAAGCAATAATCAGCTGTTTCTTCTATTATCAAGGAGACAATGGTGGTCTTGCTGTCCCTGGCAGTTGCATAACCTCTTACTTGTGCACGACTAAAGTTAGCCTGCAAGTTATTTCGTATTTGTGCAATAAAACAATAACCTATATAGTAACATGCTTAGAGTCTGAATTTTATTTTCTGACCCCTGGAAGACCAGCACAAAATATTATCTATGTGAAAAATGGACATTTAAGTGATACAATACAAAGTTGTCTGTATTCAGGGAGAGACTGCAGATGGAAAAACTGAAACATGTTTAGCATTGACTTCTTGAGACTTAACAAATGTGGTATTCTTATCTTCTCATATGGCATGTGCTCCAGCCCCCAAAGCACCTCAATATCTCTTATTAATAATCTTGCTCCATTTTAATAGTATTTCTCCTTTACAGGGAGAATCAAGACTTGTCAGAGAATTTGAGATACCACATCACAAGTGCTGAGCTTAATATTTCCTTCAGCCTAAAGACTGGGAACATTTTACTTGCTGACTATCCTTTGGAGATTGAACATGAGCATGGCTCTACTAAGTGACTTATTTTAATTTCTCTTGAGATAGGGAAAGTATGTTTAATGTAATGGTTAAACTTAAAATTAAGTAGTTTAGAAATTAAGGCCTATGTCAGAATTATCAGCTCTGTCAATAACTGAAAATAAAGAATATTGATTATACTCAAGCCCACATGTATTTCAGTAGCTTCCAATTGTGCAAAGCCATCTTCTTTCATGTTCTTCATGACTTCACACTCCTTGAGACTGGAATTTCAAATTTACATTTTTCAGCTTATCATTAGGTATATGCTATGTTTGATGTTATTTGTCTACTATTTAAAAATTCAACAAAGTAGTAAGGTACATGGATCTTGGTGATAAATCACTGGTTGGTAGCCTTAGCAAGAGAGATGGTGTTAATTAATATGTACTAATTGAATTTGTTGCAGGAACAAAAGGCAAAACAAAAGCATACAGAAACCTTTCCCTATTGAAATGGTCGTTAAGTGCAGTTGTCCAGCTTTAAAGTCCCTTGTATTTTCAAGCCAATTAAACTGAACTAAGAAGATGGAGCATCATGCTGAGTAACAGGGTTTCACAGACCCTTATACTTAAAAGAGAAAAGTTTCTTGAAATATTGTGCCTTTCATGGAAACAAAGATCAAGACAACGAATGTGAACAAAACTGGTAACAATCTGCCAACTGCTGGAGAGACCCCTGCTAGTGTCTCTAGCATCTTACCTTCAGAGCAGGTTTCACCATCTAATGTGTCAGATCTTAGCAGAATTTTGCCTAACGTTGTACATCTAGAAGCTGGACCCCAGAAAAGGCGACCAGGCACTGCAATAATATCAAAACGGTCAGATTCTTCAAACATGTCTGGGACACCACTGAATCTGCCCGTCATACCTCCAAGAAGACCTGGTTTCAGGGTATGCTATATCTGTGGCAGAGAATTCGGGTCACAGTCTATTTCTATACATGAGCCCCAGTGCCTAGAGAAGTGGCATACTGAAAACAATCAGCTACCAAGGCACCTCAGAAGACCAGAGCCCCGGAAACCTGAGGTCCATACTGCTGGTTCCCACAAGCTTACAGATGAAAATGAGGCAGCTTATCAGAGTGCTCAAGCTCAACTCCTGCCCTGTGGAAACTGTGGACGAACCTTCCTTCCTGACCGTCTTATTGTGCACCAAAGGAGCTGTAGAGGAGGTAGCGGTGGTGCGAGACTCCCAAGCTCTGGATCTGGCACAGCAAGTGTTGATCCGTCTAAGATCCATCAAGGAAAGAAGGGGGCTGCACCAGCCACAGTAGACAAGGTACATTGTTCAGCATGCTCTGTATGAAAGGGTGTGGATGCATTTTGATGCTAGGCACTCCAGGGGAGACTGAGTTCCAATCAAATTTAAAATAACTTATTTTCAGAAGGATCTTCTGGCTACCTGCAAACATTTCTCTGCTGAGTATGAATGGATAACTACTTCCTCCTGTTTCTTTAGATTTTCCTGTTGAAAGGGGATAGTTGGGTTCTCATGCTCTTGAACTATAACAGTTATGTCCCTAAAAGTGATCATTGTGTGCTATATTTCTCTAGGCGATTCTACCGAGCAGCTTAGGCAATCTTTGACTTTGTATGTTTTAGTAAGTACTAGGTGGTTATATTTAGTTAACATGAAAGAAAATATTTCATTATCCTGTAAACACTCCAGTGATTTTCAGCTTTTACTGTTGCTCTTACCCTTGGTGTGGAACACAAATTTACTGAGGACTGCATGTTCAAAGGCAGCAACTCAGAGTATAACAACAACACAATAAATAAGACTGCACATTTATTTCCACAGAATTTGATTCAAGATCCAAGAAAAAAGAAGCTGATTCACATTATCCAAAAGCTAAACAAAGTTTTGGAAAATGGTGTATTTTTTTCTGCATTTGTTTCTGTACAAGCTGTCTTTTGGCCAGGAGTTTTGTAAAAAGATAGATGTCTAAATTTAGGTTCAGTGTCTACAATAGAAGGTTTTTTTGGTGTTTTTTTTGTTTTTTTTTTTTTCAGTAGGAGTTGGACTCCTGATTGCCTACATTACTTTTCAAAATGGGATTTAGCTTTCCCAGTCACCAAAGGAATGCAATGCTATGCAGAGCATTTCTAAAACTGTTTTAAAAGTCAGAATATGCTCTATTTCAGTTTTCTCATTGCTGAATAAAATGAGATAATAGCATTAGCTCTACAAATATGAGAATAAAGACAATGTGAAGCATTTTTATATTATGTTATTTGATGCCACTGATTGATAGATGCTGCAACTTAGGTCCACTCCCCAGGTCTTTTATCGGTAATTTCAAGTAACCCACAAACGGTTCAAGGAGCTGCATAGGTACATCTAGATATAGGAAAGGAGATGTTCTCGTTGTGTTACACTACATTGTACCATTTACTGAAGAACTGGAATTGTTCTACAGATGATTGTTCAATGGAAGGCATGGGCATGAAGCAGAGATTTTTGTCTTCTACACATAATTCTGCATGTTTAAAAAATAAGGGGGGTGGGGACAGAATGTCCACAGTTGCAATGTCGTAAAAAACCAAGTGTAGTGTGTGGTTTGGCTTTGAGAGCAACTCTGTAAAAATGTTGCCTTCTTGCACAACATATCTGGTCCCCGTGTGGATTCAGCACATCTGCTTACTTGTTGAGCAACAACATTATTACCACTTTTTCCTTCTGTGAGCTCTGCAGAGCCAGGATTAAATGTGTTCAAATCTGTTCTCCCTTCTGTGTGAACAACAGGTTTCCTCATTTACTTCCAAGCAGTGACAGTTCATCAGTTGCAGCAGAACTAATAAGGCTTTTACAGTTTGCAGTTTGTAATTGACTTTGGAGGACTTTATTATTAACAATGATTTTAAGGAAGGGATGATGGATTTTACTTCTCAGAGGTCCTTTATTTTCTTGTTTTTAGATCTGTCCTTTTGTACAGAGGTAAGCAATAAAGGCAGAGGTAAGAAAGGAAAGAGTGGAAGACATATCCTGTGATCGCTGTTCAGGACTGGCAGACTGCTTGTAAGAGGTTGTCAAAGGAAGACTATTTCCTGTAGGTTTAAACTGTCTGTGTGAGGGTCCTCACCTTCAGTTGAGAGTTAGAAGAGTCCACACACACATTGAAGGATGTTGAAAAAGAACTAAGGTCATGGAAGAACAGTAGCTCCTGTTGAACAGAAAGTTCTTTTCATCAATCAACACCCCCAGGTCCTTTTCCTTAGGGCTGTTCTTAATTCATTCTCTGCCAAGCCTGTATTTATTAATGGGATTGTCCTGAGCCATGTGCAGGACCTTGCACTTGGCCTTGTTGAACTTCATGCAGTTTCCATTGGCCTACCTCACAAACCTGTCAAGGTCCCTCTGGATGACGTTCATTCCCTCCAGCGTGTTGACTGTACCACACAGCTTGGTGTTATCAGCAAACTTGCTGAGGCTGCACTCAATCCCACTTTCCATGTCACCAGCAGAGATGTTAAACAGCACCAGTCACAACACCAATCCTTCAAGAATGTCACTCGTCACTGATCTCAACTTGGAGCTTGAGCCATTGACCACAATTCTTTGAGTGTAGCCATCCAGACAAATCCTTACCCACCACGTGATCCATCTGTCAAGTCCATTTCTCTGCAATTCAGAGACAAGGATGTCATGTCCAATACTTTGCACAAGTCCAGGTAGATGACATCATTTGCTCTTCCCTTGTCCACTAATGCTGTAGCCTTGTCATAGAAGGCCACCAAATTTGTCAGGCACAATTTGCCCTTAGTGAAGCCATGTTTGCTTTCACCACTTGCCTCCACATTTTCCATGTGTCTTAGCTGAGCTTTCAGGAGGATCTTCTCCATGATCTTGCCAGGCACAGAGGTGAGACTGACTGGCCTGTAGTTCCCTGGGTCTTCCTTTTTTCCTCTTTTCAAAAATGGGGGGTTTGCTTCCCCTTTTCCAGTCAGTGGGAACTATGAAGCACGGAATCAACTAGACTAGTATCATTAATGACGAAAATGTACTCAGTTCCGTGTTACATGCCTTAAGAGCTGGACACTCACAGCCTCTGTAAGCTATCTCTTCCTCAACTGCCTTCGCTCTGAGAATGCATGAACACATCTGAATTAACAATGTCTGGCTGTGTGAAGCAAACAACAGCCTATGCTTAGAGACACTCTCAAGGATCACATCAGCTCTGGTGTGTTTTGAATTCTGCTGTGATACCCCAGACAATGGAAGTGATGTCTGGGACTACTGAAATTCAGACTTGCCCTAGAGCAGAGTGTGTTTTTCATTCTTTCATAGACCAAAATGTCTGCTACATGTAAGTGAGTACTAATGACTTGCTGTGGGTATATGTGTTACAGTTTTTTGGCAACAGAGAACGCCTGTCCTAAAATCCTATCAGATGTGTCACTAGCATCTGATGCTGCCATCTGCTGTTTTCTTATCGAGTTAATTATCTAAAAATAGGGTCTGTGTTCTACCTTTGCGGTATTGTAGAGCATATTAACACAGCATAAGTCTTGAAAACTTGTGTGACAACAAAATGTTGATGTTGTATCTTGCTTTAGCATAAAGTCATCTAGTCACTTAGTAAAATGAAAACTACTCCAGATGCTGTGTAAAACTAATTAAAGCAGGAAGTCAGTGATAAACTTTGTTTGCCTCAGTTGCAACAGTTTTTTACATCTTCTTTTGAGAATACTGTTAAATATACTTGCAAGTATAGAAAATCAGATCAGAATTGACAGTGAATGGATAGCTTGAATGAAACATACTGAATGTTGTCATGGAGAATGATTGAGCTTCCTGCTTTTCTGCTTTTATACAAATTCCATATTCATTATACTGATATATTTCTTTTAAAATATAGTAGCACATCAGGAGTAAAAAGGGATATTCTAGTGCTTTCAGTGGAGTAAAATCTTAAAATACCTGCACTAGTGGGCAGAAGTGCCTTGCTGTTAAATGAAATTTCATATAGAGGCATATGACCAGTTCTGATGTTTGCTGCTGCATCGGAACAGTGGCTGAAGGCACTCCAAAAGGCTGTTAAACACACCTTTGATTGATCACGAGAGCCGTGCTTGTCCCAATCCCTTATGCTGAATGCCTCTTACTTTTCAGAGAGGAATGTGGGGAAAGGGCTGCTTTCCTACAGTACAATGCTGTTGCTCAGTGTTTGTACCAGTCATTTCCTGAGCCTCTGTTCCTTGGGTGATTCGAGTTTAGGACGAAAACTCTGGCCACAGAAATAAATAAATAAGAAAGGCAGAGGTGTGTGCAGTCCTGAATGATAAATATTTATGGAGAGGAGTTTGGGAGTCAGTCTTACTCAATGTATTTAATAAGAAATTAAAAGCTTTGTGCTGAATGGGAGGATTTGACCTCATGTAACACCATAACAGCAGTCTGGGGCTAACCTCAAGTAATGTCAGGTCTATTGAAAATACATAGTTGCATAGCCCTCTGAGCTAAATAACTTCATTCATGGTCATGCAGACATACTTAGCAGTTTTAGAGAAAAAAAAAAAAAAAAAAAAGAAAGAAAATACTGAGACATGAGAGGAAAGCCTAACTGCTCTATTAGGTATTTGTAGGTATTTTTATAGCAACACATATCCTCAGGAACAGACCTGCCCTAGAACTCTTTTTAAAAGTGAAAAACAAAGCACTGAGCAGACAGCCTAGCCACTGGCCTGTGAGTAGTTTGGGTTGGAAAATTGTGGTGATTCCAAAAATAGTTTATTTTCAAACTGCAGGCCTCCAGATGTTACATTTGGGATAGGCACACTCTGAAAAGAACTATAAATGAAAGATAAATATCATCAGCTGTAGAAATTCCAAATAAAGCTTATCGTAAAGTTCAGATTCCACAGTTTAACAACAAAAGAGTGTTACTACCAATTATAAGGCTATTCTTCTTCAGGCTTTATTTTTCAATTTTTTTAACATGTGTGTATTTGCAAAGAGGAATTTGTGTGTGTAATCTGATGTGTGGTGACGGTTGAAACTCATTACATTTCTGGAAAAAAAATTCCACCCTTATAGTGATCCGATTCCTTTAAATTAATTCCTATCTCTGCAATTGTTTCTGTACAGTTTTTAATTGTGAAAGTTACAAAGCAGAGACATTTCTACTTGAAGATATTTCTTAAACATTTTTTTTACAACCAGGATTTAGTTATGAGTCAATCCTGATTGTTAACTTCGGAAAACAGAATCCTCTGTTTAGCTGCAAGCCTGGTTTTGCCCAGTTATAACACAAAACCCACCTGCAGATGCTCTGTCAGTACCTGGAGGGACCACTGTACTGCTCATTCACACTTTAGGTTTTAGGTTTTTTCTTTACTTAAACAACCGTCTCACAAGTGGAGAAATGTATCCAGATTGGACTGGATGGAGATTGCTAACTTTTACCTTGCAGGTTTCTGGCTGCTGTTCAACAGTAAGATATCACAATTACTTTAGAACAAGTGTAGTGGATTTGAATGAAGCAGTCAACGATAAAAGATTGTCTCCATTCAGTAGAGAAATATTACTAAGATTAAAAAACTATCTGATTTTAACAACTATATGTATGTTAAATTTATTGGGAGTATTTTTTTTTTCAGTGACATTTCATCTGTCTCATATCATTATTTTAAGTCTCCCTTTGCTTTTATTATACTGCCCTATGTGATGGAAATGGTTGTGACAGTGCAGGCTAAGTAAGTGTGGTTTCCATTTGAACTAGAACCCCTTTTTTTTCCATTCTAGTAGTATGTTGAGTCCTTACAAACAGAATGTGAATCAAATTCCTCTTCCCTAGTTTTCAGCCAACAAATTATCTCTTTTATTTCATGGCAGGAACCTTGCTAATGAAAACTTGAAGGGGAAAATATGTTCTTAGTGTTTTTACACCTATTGTTTTTTCTAAACACTATAGCATTCTATAGCATTTCTAAAATGCTATAGACATACCCATAACAAGCATGCATGCTGAAATGAGTCTCCTGACTTCAGGAGTTTGTAGTATAGTGTCCTTATCTAAAGCCCTCCAGAGCCTACAAAGAAACACACAAGGCCTTCAGAAGACTCTGTGTCTTGACCCAGAGTCTTATCTCCAAATCAGTCAGAAGTCTAGCTCAAGAAGTGAAGGAAGTAGGTGAAAGTTGATAATGAAAAATTAGAGGGCATTCTTTAAACAGCTGTTGCTATATTCAGCTATGAATAGGAAGAGAAGGTTATTTATAAAATACCTTGTTATCAAAGATGGCTAAGGAAATTCCATTTGAAAGTTAAGACGATGAAAATGTCCTTGGAAGGGCTATCTTTGGATAAGTTATATTTCAATTCACTATGAGAATTTTCCTGATTAAGTTCAACGTTTCCCAGCAAAAATATCCCTCGTAAAGTAGTATTTCTTCGTGTAATTGAGTTTACATGTGTGACACAGGAAAGAAAGCTTCTGCAGATTGTTCTCTAATGGCATTTTCAGAGTGTAGCACAAATGCAAGAAGAGCTGCCTAGAATTTCTTGAATACACTGATGGGCTGACAGAGTCATAAATACTGGAATAGGTTATGCTTTGTCTTACACAGCATCAGAGGAAAAAAATAAATTCCCACCTCCCTTTCTTGAGTAAGAAAGTCTTCCCATGTTTGGTCTGGCATGGCAGTCCCTCTACCTTTAGGAGGGCAGGGGATAGCTTGTCTCTTACTGGTATTCTGCAATCAGGAGTGCAGAAAATGCTGGCATTTGTAAGATCCATCAGTGTGCCTCAAATTGCTGTGTCTGCAGAACATTTTTACACTACTTCTGGAGTAGGGCTGGTACTGACACCACGCCTAGCCCAAGATGTGCCTAAGGACACAGTTGAATTCCTAATCTGCAACGCCACAGTAATTATATATTTTTCATGCTTAGAATATGTATTTGTGGGGTTTGGGCTTGAGGGATTTTTTTTCTTCTGTTGAGCTGTTTTTCTCTGTGAACAAAAGTAGATCTGCAGTTCAAAAATAGTGACTGGCTTGGAGTCCAGTCCTGCCCTTGCTGCCATCACTGGTGGAGTTCACACTGAGGCCTTTGCGAAAAACAAGGAATACTTCCTTTTTTTGTCCCCTATCCTGAAATATCTTGGATCAGTGTTAATCCTTCAAAGCCAACAGTGTGAGGTTAGGGACTACATAATCTTGAGACAGCTGCCCACACTGTCCAGCATGAGAGAGATGCTAAGGCTGGACACTGTATATTAGCTGTGTTCTGCCTTAAGATGAGGGTCTTTCTGCTACTGCACTAGATGTCAGCAGTTCAGCTGGTATCTGCTGAGGAAGCTTTTGTTGCTGCTTTCCTTGTTACTTCTGTTTGGTGGATGAAAAAAAGGGCTTCAACATTTAGGACACTGTATTGCAGTAACTTGATCAAGCAGAGGAGTTGTTTCTGCATGTGAAGACTCAGCATTTCCATGACGTTGATGGTGAAAAAATAAAAGAGCTACATTGCTAACTGTTAATTAGGAGACACACATGAATTTTCAGCCTATTGTCTGCAGAAAGAGCCTACCTGTTCTAGGTGATCAGTTAATGAGGCAATATCTCTTACAATCTTGAGTACTGGATCCAGACAAAATGAGACAGTTAGACCAATTTCCCAGATAGGAATCAGTTTCTCAATCTGCATGATTCTTTTAATTTACAATTTTTCTGGCTCAAAATTAATCTTGAAAATAATGTTTATTATTCTTTGCAATTGTTATTTGCAGGCACAAGTGATAAGACGGCCACCAACAGTGATTTGTTACATATGTGGCCGGGAGTATGGAACAAAATCTATTAGTATCCATGAGCCACAATGCCTTAAAAAATGGCACCAAGAGAATGACATGCTGCCCAAGCACCTGAAAAGGCCAGTGCCCAGAAAACCTGAAGTCAATCCCATAAAAGGTAAACTACAGACCAAAAGAGGAAATGGGATGGAGAATGTGGGAGGAAGAAAAAAAACAATGTAAACAGAATCTTAGTGGTTTGCAAGTGCTCCTTTCTTCATCTTGCTCAGGACAGAAAGTAGCTATCATGGTTTGTTTTAAGTTTTCTGTTAAGTATCCTATTCTCCTTTTGTGCTGTATCCATGAGAAGAGTAGTTGTTGCCTTGTGGGACATGTCTCCTGGGACAGTCCTCTTTATGTGTCAATATATTGTGAATCAAAACACCAAAAAAAATAGCAGCCTGCTACTTCACAGCTACATCACTACATTTTGACTACTTTCAATGCTGTAGAAAAACTTTTTTAAATGAGCAAAAGCCTCCAAAACCAAGGTAGGGACTTGAAAACATACAGTCATTAGAATAAAATACCCTTCAGGCAACATAGGGATAGACACCTCAACCAGGTTTTAGACCTATAGCATCATCTATAAAAGACAATCCTGACACTGGCACTTAATGGTAAACAGTGAGTGGTCTCAAAAATAGAAATTCTGTGGTAAAATAAGAACTACAATACTAGGTGCCTGGTGAGTGGTAGAAAATAAGGTTTTAAACCTACCTATAACATGTACTGTTTTCATGTTTTTATTAACATTTATTTATATATAAAAATGCAGTATCTTCTGCAATGAATATTCAGTAGATGTTATTGGTTGCTTTTTATTTACAAGCCTTAGAAGCCTTCTTTGTGAGACATTATAATATAAAAACAGTGGAGAAAAAAAATGTGTAGTATAAAATAAACATTTTCTTTCTGCCAATTATGTGTTTGTGCTGTGAGTTCACTTTATTAGGATGCCTAGATACCACTTCTTCAAATCAATTGAAACAAGTGATCTCCACAACATCTAAGAGCTGGGCTCCCATTTGTGTCCCAGGAGTGGGTGCTCACTGTAGGATCACAAGGAAATCTTATCTGAACTTTGCCTGGAAGCTGCTCCCAGCACTTCCCCATATGAAGCTATTTCACCATTTCAGGTGAATGGTTTCCCTGGCTCTGCCAGCTGCTCTGGGCTGAGTTTCGACCACTTACAGGCAGTAAATTCACCCACTCTTTTTTTTTATATTCCCCACAATTTCCCGCAGCTTCCCCTAATGTCTGGAAAAGCAGACTAATTCTGCAGGTCACTGTGAAAGAGTCATACACTAGATCAGTTTACAGCAGTGCAAAGAAGTACATCCCCAGAAGACACACACAAAAGAAAGTAGAATCACTGAGAACACTAACTAGCTGTTCAAAATAATAATTATTCAAATAATAATCAAATAATATCAAATCAGGATTTGGTTAACAGATGGAAGTAGAGTGAAATCAGCAGTAAAAGGAAGGTTCAAAATATATTTTCATTTTATTTGCTCTTTTTGTTGCAAAGTTTTTTTTAATAATTGCATTTCTTGTGTTTAAAAAAAGATGGAGAAAATGAGAATTCCATCTGAAAAAGAAGGATACAAAAAACCAAATCAGGTTATTTTGAAATGTACTGTTCTTATTTTGAGGGAGTGGAAGGAAAGACAACCACTCTTTGAGAGAACAATCCAGCAGAAAGCTCCCAGATATGAATCAGAAAATTGTCTCATTTATGCAGTGAGTCATATCAGGCGCCACACATCTCCTGTGAGGTGTTGTGTGCCCACAGTTCCCCAGGGGACACTGACCTGCTTCCAGCATCTGTCCCTAAATGCCTGCTGATGCAAGTCTGATCAGTTCTGAAGCTAGAGCTAAAATTGTTCCCCCTGCAGTTGCCTCATGCTCCTGGCCTTGAGAAAATAATCTCAGTGTTGTTCTTTTTCCATAAGACTTACTCTCAATCATCTGGTAAATGCTATAACTGACCTTGAGACCACATACACGTACTGCATGTCTCACAGTTTCTCAACTTAGGGAGGAGGGGTTACCCCTGTTGTTGAATGTTCAAGAAAAGCTCAGAAATATTAACTGCTTACATAAAACTTTTTATAACTTACATAAATCTTTTTCTGAAAACTCAAGTGTCACAGGAAGACAACCACTGCCCTGATTACACAGTGTTTTGTTTGTGGAATGCCTAACACATGCCTGCAAGGAGAAAGTCATCTCTCTTGCTTTTTTTTTATATTCAATAAACTTTCTAAAGTACAGAAAATACACATTCATTTCCTGCAAGCAAAGGGGATATTTGTCTCAGCCAAGAAAAGAAACACGACTTGGTTGCTCTTCTAACAAAAAGAACATTAGGAACAGGCATATTAAGAGATCTAAGGCTTATTGTGGTTATGGGAACCATTGGATATGAATCATATTAAAACTGTGTGGGCCTTTAATGAAGAACTCTATCATGTGCCAATGACAGAAACCATGGAATATTTTTAAATGCACAAGTCCTTTTCTTTTAAAAATGGTCTGCTGCTAACAGTTCAAAGACAAACCCAGATTTTTTTAGTCTTTTTCTGTATTGTCATACCTTTTGAGAAGGCTGAAGCAGATACATATTCAAATCAATCCAAGTAGATTTTTTTCTGCGTGCACTTCAAATGAAAGTTTGACATCTAAATCCAGGTATTAAGCAGCCTACCTGGCCTCTTTGGAAATCGGATTGAAATAACACAATATAAAAGTCCATTTCAAGATGAAAGTAAACAAGACTTTTTCAAAATTTAAATAAAATATTGAAGATACATTTGATGTGAGCGTTTGAAGACTGTTCCCGAGCTTGCAAAGCAGCCACTCTTCCCACACTGGGAAATAATTGAGAGTAAGGCTGGATTAGTGTTTAGATGACAATAGATGCATCAGTGCAATGACCTCACTGGAAGTTGTGGCTTAAGAAAACTGTAAGGGTTATTTGTGAGGTTTTAGGTTTACCTAAGCTTTACTCCACTTATTGGCAAAACTTGCACAGACTTCAAGAGGAAGGAAATTTGGCCTCCTGTCTGGAGCAGTACAAAGAACATATTCTCAAATACGATAGGCTCCCACCCAGTGCCATGGTCAGATAACACATGCTCATTAAACAGAACTTGAAGTAAAGCCAGAAAGTGACATTTGCTGATAATAATGTGTATGCAAAGATGTTAATAATTAGCTGAGAATGCATATCATAAAACACAGCATGATGTTTTCTCTGTACTCTCATACAATACAAAATGATTCAGTTTGAAGTTAATTTAATTCAGCCCCTGGGACAAAAAGCAGAGTCTTTTCAGTATGTTTTTTACTCTTTTGCTTCTTTCTTTTCTTTCTTTTCATTTGCAAAAGCAATATGGTTTGGTTAAACCCAAAGGCTCAGTCAACAGGTATTTCCTGAAAATATTTTCCATGAAGAGTTGAATGTGGGTCTCCAGAATGAAAGCTGATACTTTCTTCTTTTTAATTTTCCAGCCAAAGGTTTCTATGATCTCGATGCTTTAAATGAGGCTGCCTGGACCAGCGCCCAGAACCAGCTAGTTCCATGTGATATTTGTGGGCGTACTTTTCTTCCAGACAGACTGATTGTCCACCAGCGGTCCTGTAAACCGAAACCTGCAAAGTGAAGTGGATGTAACACACAAGCACACCTATGCATGCGTGCTCACACGCACCTACCCCTGTGTGTATGTGTGTGCATGAATACACACATGCACCTATACCTTTCAGCCACACTGTGAGAGAAATGAAATCCAGCTGGAGAACCAAGGGCATGAAAACTGCACTGTGTCATCAGATCACGTGATCCAAAAGCCCCTGGAGTAAAATCAGCAGTTGCTACTGTAATGTCATGTCTAATGTGTTGATTTTTTAGCCCAACAGTAGCAAAAATGCCTCCTCTTTTCTATCAGGCAGGTAGCGTCACCTTGAAACCACAGTTTGAGAGGGATAGCATATGAATACTTGAGCATATTGAATATCATCTTCCTTCTCCTGGTCCTGTGCTTAGTTGCGTATAGGAGAACACAAGAATCTTCCCAGTTTCTTTTCTGTATTGCTGTGCTGTCTTCAACTCTGGGAATGAAGGCAGTGTCTTCATCTACAACATGTTCTTTAGCCCCACTTCTTTCACAACCTTTCAAATTTAGCTATCTGGATGCTTGAAAGATGTTGTGCCTTCTGCATACATTTCCTATTTTACATGGCATAGAAGTTTTTTGTTTGTTTGTTTGTTTCTTATTCAGCAAAGGACAGAAATAAATGATCCATAGCTGTTAGAGGTCATTCACTGCAGAGATCTGCAAAAGAATATCCCCCAGGGATCCATCTTGTGGTCTTACTTTTCAGCAGATCTGTGAGACTGGGAGAGTTGGTATAATGTCAGGAGCTCTCTTGGCACACAAGGACATTTGTCTGTATGTCCCTTACTTGGTGAGTATACTTGCCTACTGTTCCAGAAACTGAAGCACCAGACAACTTTCAGGAAATAAGAGTTTCAATGAGGAATAACTCATTGAATCTCAGCAGAAGAAAGGCTAAGGTGATGTTGATCAGGAAAACTAATTACTTGAATTTTTTTTCTTTTTATAGAAGGCTTGTCTACTCAGTGCAAGGACCTCCAGCTTAACTAATCATAAAAACCAAGTAGGTTCTTTGGGTTTGTTGGTTTGTGGGCTGCTTGTGTATTCTTGTCCATCTTTAACACAAGAATATTAATTATCTCACATTTAAGTCTTAAATCCATGAAGCACTTCCTTGTGGGACTGGCTGATTTTAGAAAACACCCCAAAAGTTTCCTCTGCTTGGAGCATTTCTTACTAAGTAATGATACTGAGTATGTGATTATCCTCAGGTCAATAAGCCAATCATGCAATAAAAAATTAAAATTAGAAGGCAGAGAAGCACATCTTTAAAATGAACTTGGTAAAAGAAAGCATATTTTTATAACAAGCCCAAAAAAGCAAGGTGTATCAGATGGCTCAAATAAAGTACCACCCTACCCTCTGTGCCAAATATGACCGTAACAGGGTGCCAGTACACGTGAGAAGGGTAGGTATTATAAAAGAAAGGGGTGGGGGAAATGTTTGAATGTGCTATTTTGAAAAATGCTTTTATGCTACTTGGCATGAGTGCCAAAAAAATTGTCCCTTTAACAAGATACTGCAGAAAGCACTCTTTATTTTCTTACTTTGAAGTGATTTTAAAAGTAGTCAGTGAGGTTATTCAAAAGGTATGACAAAATCCAATACAAGATGTTAACCAGCAGTGCAGGCTTCCTGATACCATGAAAGAAGCTGTACTTCATGTATGTTTTCACCTTCAGGTTTAAGACCAAGAGCTGGCTGTTATGTATGGTGTGACCAATGTAATTTTTCTCAGAGCATTTACACTTACTACCACACTTACAAATCAGATGAAGTGGATGTTTTCATACACAGTAAAATGAAACATGGGTATGAGCAACTTTTCTTTTCCAAGCTATCAAGCTGTGTGATCTGTGGCTGTCGCCGCGATGTCTCTTTATATGTTTCCTTTGCTCCCGATTGGCCGGTTTCGTATTTCCAGGCTTTTCAGCCAATCAGAAGGGACCTTGTCCCGCCCTTGCAGCCGTTCTTCCGGCCACAGCTCCTCTCCCGCAGCAGCTGCCCCCTCGGGGCCTCAGGGAAGGCAGCCAGGAGAGGGTTCAGTGCCACGTGGAGCAGCCTTCTTTAAGTCAGTTATGGCTGCTGACCTGAAGGGCATTTCACGTTCGTGTGAGGAAATACCTGGTCCTTCACAGTGGCGTAAGTGAAATAAGTACAATCATTGTTCTGTTATTAGATGAGTGCCCCTGACGCAGCCAGGAGAGGGTTCAGTGCCACGTGGAGCAGCCTTCTTTAAGTCAGTTATGGCTGCTGACCTGAAGGGCATTTCACGTTCGTGTGAGGAAATACCTGGTCCTTCACAGTGGCGTAAGTGAAATAAGTACAATCATTGTTCTGTTATTAGATGAGTGCCCCTGACTCCATCCCTGGCAGGCTGTTAATTCAGGATGGGAGAGATACGAGCATTCTTTGATTAAAATAATTTCCAAAACAATCAATGGCATGTCAGCAGCCCTTTCATTGTCAGAATGAGAATTGTATTGTCTGAAAATAGATATCTTCAGAAGTCAAAGGTTCAGTTTCTCTTCTACAGTACAAAGCTGTGTAAACCCTGCAGATCTGTCCTTGTTAATGTCTCCAATGTAAGGAGAGTCACTGCTGGAGCTGGACTAGCATCATCCCTCATTCTTTTGGTTGGAAAGAGACATGTGGCCTGAGTAAAGAACAGGGGCACTGATTTGTGATTGCTAGAATGGCTCCTAGGAGCTGTTGGCAAGCATCATATACTGCAAGACTCATATTAACCTTACTTCTAGTGCCCTGTTGTGTGTTTCCACAAAATAAAGAAGCTCCTGAAGCTATATAACTCAAGTATGGTTTCCACATCAGCCTCTGAAGGAGTCAGCTGAGGATTCAGCAAAATAAGACCTGCCTCCTTGCTCACAGGTGATTGCTTTTGATCCCGAACTTAGTGTAGTATGTGTGAAACAGTGAACATTAACACTCTAAGAGGCAAGTCAATACTGGGCTATGAGGAGTGATGGTGAGAAAAGAGCATGCAGGAACTCAGCAGGAGGCAACAGCCTTCAGGAAGATCACAGAGGCTGCAACAAGCTGTTCCCTCAACATCCTGGGTACAATGATTTTCGAACTTTGTGGAACCATAAAAAACACTGTCACATGACAGTTCATATAATCCCATTTCAAATGCTGACAAGTCATCACTGTCACATCTCCAGGTCACTCTTGCACAAGCTTTTCTGCTGAGCTCACGAGCCCTGCTGTTAGTGCCAATGACGTTGGTGAGTTCGGTGGCAAGATCTGTTCCCCGAGAGAAACAATGATAGTTCCTTCATGGCACTTCATGGCTGGGGGAAGTGTGGCTGGAAAGTGTCTGGCAGAAAAAGACCTGGGGGTTCTAAATGACAAGTGGCTGAATATGAACCAGCAGTGTGCCCAGGTGGCCAAGAAAGCCAATGGCATCCTGGCTTGTCTTAGAAATAGTGGGGGCAGCAGAAGTAGAGAGGTGATTGTCCCCCTGTGCTCACTGGTGTAGTGTAGAGATGATGGTTGGACTCAGTGATCCCAAGGCTTTTTTCCAACCTGAATAGTTCTGTGATTCTGTGACTCTATGATTCTGTGGTTTGCTGTTGACAGAGTTAAATTGAGATCATATGAGCATTTTTCATTATTGCTTGGCATTTATCATTATGAATTTTTTGCAGAACAGGAAAAGGAAATGAGAAATTGAGCTACTTTGTTTCCTTTGTTTCCATACTTTAGTGATTTGTCACTTAACCTTATCTCGTCCAGTGTTGGCTCACTGTGATTTCCAGCTCAATCCCATGTTTCCTACTGGCACAATACATCTGAAGAGCTGAAAAATGTTTTCTTGTACTTCAAAAACAACAGTATTCCATCTACTTTATCACGAATGTACTGGTAGTAGCTAAAGCTATTCCTTGACAAAACATACAGAGAGATAGAACATGGATTGACAAGCAAAGTTCAATCACAATAAACAAATGAGCATCCACTTTCAGATAATAAAAAAAAAATCTCTAAATGACGTTTTAGTTTAGCCAGCTGAACCTACAACTTCCAATTTAAAAAAACAGACATTTTAGAAAATCAATCCTGAAGACCATAGACTACGTAAGTTGAACTGCAGACTTCAAATACTGGACATTAATTAAAAAAACCCAGAGTAGCAGCCAAATATTAAATCTAAAGTAGTATAGTTTAGCAAGTGGAAAATGTCACAGTCCTTTAGTTATAAAAGCTGTATGAAGTCCCACATCATAGAACTGTAGATTCATAGAACTATTCAGGTTGGAAAAAAGCCTTGGGATCACTGAGTCCAACCATCATCCCTTCACTACAAAGTTCTCCCCTAAATCAGATCCCCAACACCACATCTAAATGACCCTTAAGCATATCCACGGATGGTGACTCAGCCACCTTCCTGGGCAGCCTATTCCAGTGTCTACCCACTCTTTCTGTATTTTTTTTTTTTCCCCCTATC